GTCCACAACCAAGATGCAATACTATTGATTACAGAGGTATTGCTTGTAGCTCCCATAGGCAAAACTGATGTTATGTGTGCACATTAGACTAGAAAAACAAAGTATATTATCCCCAAACTTAAAGGATTACCCTTCTGAGTAAAAGATACACATGATAAGAAGTTACCTGACATCTGCAATTTCCTGGTACAAGAGTCAGACTGCTTAATCTTGACTTGCATCAGTGGCCAAGCCCTTTATGCATTCATCTCTCAGAAGTGGACATAGAGGCAGAAGCCTTGTTCTGCCTAGGAATAAAAAGAAGCTGAGCCTCTCCCTCGCCCCCCCAATATTGTTCATATTGGCCAAATTTACTGACAAAAAACTGCAGTAAGCCTATTTCCCTGGAAAGAATTGCATTCCAACCAGTTTTTGCTGGACCGCCAACTTCTCCTAGTTGACAACACTCCACAGGCTGAGTGTTCCCACCTTCTGCTACCATGATATTCCTGCCCAAATAATGAAAAAAAGAGATTCCTTTAAAAAGCCACAGACTCTTCATGATCTTGAGAAAGCCAACAGTCAGTTCTGGCCCACCACAGCACATCTGAGACCAGCATTCCCAAGAAGCTCCCAAACTGAGACTGCACATCGCTCTTGCAGTGCTTTTTGTTTCTCCAGCATCCAACGGGAAGGAACATGTCAAACCCCACAGCAGCCAATTCTCACTCCTGGGTCTACGACCAGCTTTCGTGTTAATTTTTTGTCTCCTCAAAGACCTGGCCATCAGGCTTACTCAGGCAGGAATTATTTATTTGCTATTGTTAATGGACAACTCTGTCATGGTGGTTAAAAAGGCATAGGTGGCATGAGTCAGCAAGAGAAGGTAACACATATGGAGGACCAGGAAATTCTTCCTTATTCTTTTTTGCCCATGTTCTGAAGACTCGGGGTTTGATTGTGCTTCAGAGAAATAACCTGTGGGCTGAGGCATAACTTGTCCCAGAAGACAGGAGTTCATTGCTCTGCTTTGTTGCTAGTGAGGAAGGCTCAGAGCTGGCAGCCAGTTAAGATAGCATGACAAACTCCAAGAAGGTGAAAGGAGCTGAGGGGAGAAACTGAGTGTCACTGAGCCCCCCATGCCTCACTATCCATTTCGATCATAAATTCTGCTTTAAAATGTAACTTATCATTACAACTCTGAAATACAATTAATTTTATAAGTCAGACCCACTCCTAGAGCCAGCATTGTGACAGTGTCTAAACAATGATTTTTAATCAAGTGGAGGTTGAGCATGCATGTAGGGAGCACATTTAACAGAGATGCTGTAATGATCTCAGAAAATCATAAACTTAAATGCAGTTTAGATCTGCATACTAATGAAGAGATGCCTTTATAGGCTTCTGGACAACTCAGCTTAAAAGAAATTTTAAAATGTCGATTTATTGCAGTGCAGAGTTTTATTATCCAATTACACAAAGTATTAAGCATCTCATCATCATTAAAGCAGAAATTTCTCATGTAATTCTATTGATTTTTAAAAGAAACAATTAAACTAACTGTTAAGATCAAGTTCATCAACATAATCTGACTCCTTTGTTCCCCCCTCCTAAGCAGGACAAATCAATCAGTGTCTCCTGGTTAGCATAACCAGTTTCCTGGAGCTGTTGCACCACTCTGACAAGATACTGAACAGCTATTTTACAACCTGTTGTTCTGTCCCTCCTCTCACATCCACCTGCACACATCCCCACAGCTCCAGATCGCACCCTTCTTGTCTCCCAGATCTTTTCTATTGCCATTGCACGTTCCCAGAAACCTCCATCTCCATTCTCTTTCACATGCTCCCTCAGTTTGCTTCTTCCTACACCATCACGTTCCTTTGCAAAATAATGAATGCAATTTTAGGAAAGACATATTGTATTTTTCACAGATAACAGAGATAGAATGCCAAGTTGTGTTAAATGCCAAATTTCTTTCCACTCTGATGACAGAAGTGTATCTGCAAATTAGCACCTCTGCTCAGACTGTACTTTACCAACAGGACTTTACTACTAACTAGTTGTCTGCAAGGCAAAGCAGGTCCCTAGTAGAAGGTGAAATGGGAAAGCCACAAAAAGCCTCCTGGGCTTCCTCTGAAAGCAAAGCAGCTTGTCCATAGGGCTGGCTGGCTCTCATTTTCTCTCACACTCTGATGCCCTTAAGATCTGTGCCCATAGCTGCAATAAAATCTCTCCCCAAGTGAACTTGCATATGCCTCATTTTCTCTTTTGCTCCCAGTGATCCCACCAATGCCCTCATCAAGCAGCTGGCAACTTCTGCTGCCACCAAGAGCTACTCCTGCACCAAAGTGGTTGGAGTGAGGAATTTCTCCAGTGGCAGAGACAGACAGTAAATCTGGCAGTACGGGCAGGCCATTAGGGAGGTACGCCATGGGTATGTGCAGCCAGAGAAGGGACACTTTAGAGTTTCTTGACAAAGGTCATTGTAAAATGTTCATGGATCTGGTTGCATTCAAGGGACACTACAGCATGTGTGTAGGTCCCAGATGATACTGATTATCCACCTCTGCAACAAGTGAGAAAAAGCCTTCAAAAATTTAGGTTAATAAGACTCAAACTTAATACATTCTGCAAAATGTCCTCTTCTTTACATGGAACAACAGATTCAAAACAATAGCAGCAGTTTATGCTGAAGAAATGGCTGGACACTGTGGAAGAATTACAGAAAGCAGAGCAATGTACGGCCTAAATCAGACACACTTGGCAGGTAGAGCACAGCAGCCCTAGCAGATCCATCACTCCCCACTCAGCAAGTCACAAACACTCCTTTACTGACAAAAGCACTCATCCACAAGATTCCCAAGATTTATTGGTGTTTGCAAGGTGCAGGATTTTCCTGAGAGGAGTAAGAATTAGTTTATGCCTACATTTGACAATGTTATTTCAAGTCCAAGACAGGTTACAGCTAATTTATAAATGATCCTGAAAAGTGATGCTCTTTCTGGAAGTGCTTATATCTATTCAACATCCATGCAACTCAATGGCCTGAGAAATTACTTTCTACAAATTGTTTTATTTTTAAAATAACTCTTTTACATGTATTTAAAAGGCTTATTTACAGTAAGTACACTTCTTAACTCTGTTAGATACATGGGCAGATGTGCAGATCAGCACACACATGTAGCTCTCAGGTTAATGTTATTTTAAGCTGCTTACATAGTTCCAAAATCTAAGATCTGTCCCAGTTGACATGGCTATAACAGGTGTAATAGGAACAACAAATGTTTTACAGATCAGAACAACATTAAACTATTCATCAGTTCTCTGTCAACACTCAACAATCCTTCCTTCTAACAATTGACACTGTTATATCACTGTAGCGCATGAGCATCTAACAAATGCTTCCATCAAGGATTAGCAGATTCTCTTAAATAGGTGAAAACTGTTACATTAAACTCTGTAAAAGCATTTACTTTTTATCATGTTTAAAAAATAAAGTTATGGCATGTCTTTGGCTGCCTTTCCAGGGCCAAATTCAACCCCCAGAGCATGCATCCAGCTCCCATTAAAAGCAATGACAAATGCAAGACATTGTCCATTCGTCCTTCACTAAGTGAAATGAAACATAGGAAGAAGAAAAAAAAAAAAGAAAAAGAAAAAAAGCAGAGTTCGCTAGAGGTTACACAGCAACCGAATCTTCAGTCAGGAACCCTGACTACCTTCTGCACACACTTTCTACATTCACTGTGGGGAATGAGGGCAAACTGGGGAAGAGGCAGTGACACTGATTAGAAAGCAAAATGGATTAGGAAGCAGTGACATTATAGTGGGTCAAAAATAGACAATATAGGAAGATAAGAGAAAAAGAAAGAAAATTGAGAATTACAGGCAAAAAATACTGAAAGTTACCACCAGAAAGGCAGTAAGATGATGTTATGCAACAGCAAGCATAAATAACAGGAGATGCACTGATGAGAGGCATTTTTCAGACATGTTAAATAGCTGATTGTCAAAATATTTGCAGTAAATACAGAGACACCACATTTGCCTCTCGTAGGTGTATTTACTAGTGCATACAATGGCCTGGATGGTAGGCTGATGTTGAGGGAAAACAACTCTCCTCTTTACTCCTCATCCATCCTAGCCCCTAATCACATTTGCAGCTACCTCAAAAATATTATCGCAGAATATTAGTTACTGACTGCACTTGGCAAAACACAAGAGGCAGCTGTGATCATGCCCTCAGAGTTTTGAAAATATTTACTTTAAATTCCATACAAAAGCCATATAAAGACTTGAGACTCACCATAGGGCAGACTCTTAAAAAATACCCTGCTGACGTTGCTGGCACTTACAGAATAAACCAGAAAGGTGCTGTGACTGTCCCAGAATCTGACACCTCACATCTAGGTGACAACCAGCAGCTCACCAGTGGAGTCCAGCACAGCCAACATGGCCCTACTTCCCAGGGCCATGGGAAGAATAGTGAGTTCAGAATAGGAGACTGGAATGGACATTTGGGACAAAAAGAAGGGAATGTGGAAGACAGCAAGAATGGGCATGTCCAACCTCCTGAGCCCTATCTGTCCTTTCTGAAATTATCAAACACTCCAATAAGCTGAAAGACCACGAGATGTTTTTCCCCTGATGTTGGCCTATTTTGCATATGCCTGAACAAGGCCCAAGCACATCTTTATCTTTCAAATACCAAAAGCATTCTCCACAGGCTTCAGAAAAAAATACCTCCCAACCAAGCCCATCTTCCTGACTACCAAACCCCCTCCCTTCCAGGGCTCTAAAAAATAAAAGTTGTCTGATGCACTTTATTCCCCCAAAACAGCATTTATCAAAGCTTCATTTTTGAAATCTGACTGTTGTGAAACTACTGATAAAGGGGAAAAGAACTGGGCCCTGGTCTCAGCAATTGCACCTAGGTACTTTGAAAGGGACCAGGCAGAAGTCCTGCTAGTGGCACTGGCAAAACTCACCCCTTCAAGGGCACCAGAACAGATGGATTCACAAAGCAGAGGGATGAATCCACCCTTATGTCCTACAGCAGCTCAACATCAGCAATCATCAAATCAGAAGGAAAATACACACAGAATTGGTTGCTTTCCTTTTTCATCCCTCAGTACCCAAGCCATTTGCAGTCCTCTTCCCAGCCCCAGTCTTGGAAACAGCCTTTAGCTGTCCACACCGTCCACCACTTGACAACTACAGACAGCTACAGGGAGATGCAGCCCTCCAGGCTGCGGGATGAAAGAGGCAAAGAAGGGGCATCATGAGCTGCGGCCACAGATCTGCTCGATGTGGTAGATCTCCTTGGGACAGTCAGCAGACAAGATGACAGGTGCATCCTCTGTTATCACAACATCATCCTCAATGCGCACACCAATGCCACGGAACCTCTCCGGTGCACTAAAGTCATCCTCAGGGATATAAATGCCTGAAAGAAGGAAGGGAATTAAAACACACAACACTCTCCATAACAACACGTTTCCCTTACTGGACCACCACGAAAGCAGCGTTGGATTTTCAGCAACATAACATGAGTTTGATACTGAAAAATTTTAATAAGGAAAGCTACTCTCTTTCCCCTCACGCATGGTAGTTGGTGGGCAAAGAAAGGAAAGTGTTCCTCAGTGCCTACAGACACTAGCATGTTAATAAAAACTTCCACAATTACAGCTGGCCTTTCTGCACTTCTTGCTCTCAATGCTATGTTCACAGCAATGATTTTAACAATGTTCTGAACAAAGAGAGAGAAGAGCCAAGCTTTAAGTATCAGTTTCCAGCTGACAGCTCCAAATTCAGTGACAAGCAGAAAGAAAGATTCATGGTGAAATGCCTAATTTGCAAAGCTAAGTTGTAAATGTCTGTAGCTGCAAACTGCAATGGTTGAGACTTACACTCTTACACTATAGTGACAGTTTGGTCACAGTAACACAGACCACAGCACAAGTGAATTTAGCCTGCTTCTCTGCACATTGACCTGTGCTGCTGTAGGTCGAACACTAGCAGTCAGAGGTCTATACTACCCTGCTCCTGCTGCACAGACACTTTCTGGGAGTTTACTCCCACAATTTGTTACTTTGTCTGTGTTTGGGAGGGAAATAAGGTTTTCTAATACTTTAATGACTTTGGGACGGAATAACTAAAGATTTGGTAATACTGCAATAATTTTGAATTTCACCAGAAAGGACCTCAATGCTTTGGTCTGAGGGACCAACTCACTACCCAAAGCAATACTGTTACCCTCAGTGTTTCATGTTTTTGTCCACCAACTGCATAACTTTTTACCTGGTTCAATGGTTATCACCATGCCTGGCTGGAGTGGGAGCGATCGGGATATATCTGGGGTATCGTGAACATCCATGCCCAAGTAATGGCCCACATGATGTGGGCAGTACTTTCGAACAGCCTAGCAGAAGACAAAACAACTATCACAGAAGCAGTTAAACAAAGCCCAACCTCTTGTTCCAATACAAAACAAGAGACAGAATAATTATGTGCTTAACTAGCAATCTTATTGCCATGACTAGGTCACCACAGGCTGTCCTCCATTTACCAGAACTGGATAGCCCTCAAAACCCACCAGTACCAGGTGCCTATTATGAGCATATTTCAGACTGCCTTTCCCCCTCACTGAAAAGAACAGCCCAAGCCCATCACCACCTCAGCATATCAGGCAAGGCTTCAGTTTTCGGCTCACTGAGTTTTGCTGCCCCAACCCTTTCCATCCCTTACACATCCAAGCCCTGCGTTGCTCCCATCAGCAGACCCTGAAAACCGTCAGCAGCTGATACAGCTGCTACATGATGCAGCAAAGAGGTCTCTGATGCATGATGGAGTGGATGCTGTGCCAATTTCACGCAGCAGCTACAGAAGTGTTTTAATCCACCTCCACAGGGCACTGACACCGCCTCCCCCCACACCATCCTAATCGCCTCCATCCAGAGAGGAGCTCCTTGACAGCAGGAATCAAAGAGCTAATTCCTCCTGTGTCTCATGCTCCTCACATTCACTGGAGACTGAGCTGCAGATGCTGGTCTCATCTGGCTGTGCTGCCGCCTGCCGAGAGAAACCGGCATGATAGCGCCTGTTCACATGTGCTGTTATTGCACTGACACTGTAGGGCAATTAAATCTGTCAGAAATCTGTACTGCTGCCAAAGGGGTAGATCTGTCACCCGGTTCTACCATCTTTCTTGTAGTGTTATCAGCAATCATACAGGTTTGCAGTGAGTGGGACCAGATAAACTTCTCAAAACTGCAGACCAATCCTATTTTATCTGCAGGTTCAGCTCCAAGGCAGATCAGTTCCCCAGGAAGTTCACCAAGTAGCTCTGTGAATCCCAATACTGACACAAAATGCTGCAGAAGAGGCAGCAGGTGGAACAACTGAGAAGAACAAGCTGTATCTTTTGGTGGCACTGCAGATTCATGCTATGTTAAACAGATCACAAAACTATGACTAATTGCTGGCAGCCAGCCCTGGACCCAGAATTTTGTGTTAGTGCCAGTGTTTCTATAGGTCCCGTCAGACTTCTGTGCTCTAAAGCTGCATCTACACTAACAAGTAGCGCAGACCAATGGGAATGGATCTGCAGAGTGAAACAGCAAGCACTGAGGAACAAATATTCACACTATGTACATGTAAGACCTGAGGGTTACTTCAGAACAAACTGCACTGAATGCTAGAAACACATCTTCAAGTTTAGCCCTGAGAGAAATACAGTCCTGTGCTGAGACCAGCCCACAACATTAATTAAAGCGCAGTGCCTGGCAACAATTAGAAGATACATCTCAAAAGCACATCCCTGAATCAAACTAAAGCCACTAACATAACCCAGGGAGAAGAGAGTCAGGCCTAGTGGGAGGAAGCTGGAGTAAAAAAAACTTCAAGTACCTTGAAGAAGGGGCTCTCAGTGATGCTGCTCTTTAGGATTCCCAGCTCTTTCAGTTTCTGTCCAATAAGGCTCAGCATGAGGCTGTAGATATTTTCTAGACTCACACCTGGGGAGCAGAGGCTCAGGCAGGACTTCTGGATATCCAGGACAGCCTGGTATAGCTCTGCTTGGGGTTTGGTGAACCTGAAAACCATCGAGAAAAGGAACAAGGGACATTTCTCACAATTAAAACTCTACCCAGCATCTATTTTGGGGACAGATTCAATTCAGTGTTGGAGCAGGGAAAGTCAGAAAGGAAAGCAACTGGCTCCTTATATGAAATGCCAGACAAAGCATCACTCCAATATGGCCTTCAATACACTGGGTAAGAGGCAGGGTTTCTCAGCTGACAGCCTAACCCCAAAGCAAAGCAAGGCAAAGCTACTGCAGGAAAAATAATTCACTTGAGCCAAAATGTACAAGAATCAAACATACAACCACAGGGACACCACACCAACCAATTCACAACTGACAGAGCCATGTACAGGTCAACTAAACTCCTATTCTCTTACAGACAACCAGAGTCAGCCACAGCTGAATGCACAAAAGCCCTGTCTGCACCTTAAGCATGCTGTAATAGCTGAAAATAGCAGTAATCACACATATTTATGCAGTAATTAATGAGGCAGCAGGGAATACAGCTTCTCATGCTGAAAGATTAGTTTATATAATTTGATTACTCTGAAGAACCACAGAATGGGACACATTAAAACTATTCACACAGAGATTAAACACACATACACTCAACCCATCAATTATTTAAGAGCTTCTCAAAATTCTTCATACGGCCTTATCGCAGCATACCTTCCATTGACAGGCCAGGTACGTGTGATGTCACTAACGTAGCAGGAAGACTCACATCCACCATCTAGCAAGACCAGTTCACCATCCTGGAGAATAACAGGAAAAAATGCCCTGTGGGTCTATTTGGCTATTAACTGAATTGATTTCTCTGTCTGAAATTAGGAAAGGAGATCATGTTTGTTTTTTTTTTTTCAAAGCAGCTGCAGAGATGTGAATTCCTTTTGCAGAACAACATGCCAGGTGCTACTGTTTATAAATAGGCTATTCCAGTTGGATGGTTTCTCTGCAAAGTAGTCTCTGACTGTTATGGTTATCTACAGATTGGACTCTTTAACATGCTGATTTTCAAACACATTGGGGCAAAAAAGACATTTTCTTTGAATTATTCTGCACTCCAAGACATCGGTCCCATTCCCAGCTGGATTGCCTGCTACGGGAAATTACACCAGTGAGTCCTCTACAAGTAGTTCGCTATAGTGACTGAGATAGAAGGGTTTTGCAACAAAAACATAGACTTCTGAGCTACCCACAAGATCACTAACAGCTAAAGATTTAGCCTTATCAGAAGGTAGGAGGACCCAGCAAAATCACCTCTGACAGTGTACCACTACTGTAAACGCACTATTGAAGAGCTTGTACCATCTTCCCTGTTCTCTTCTGAGACTTGCTTGACTGCTCTAAGATGTACTTCTGAATCTATCTGGTGATGAAGAAAAAACTTTTGGAGATGGGAACCTCCAATTCACTTCAGCAAAACTGTTCCATGTCAATCAAATCACTAACTGCACATCTTCCAAAATGCCACACAAAAAAGAAAAAGGGCCAGGAATAAAATCACTGCCTTGCTTTCCCTTCTTAAAGGGGCTAACAACAAATAGAGCAATGAGATCTGTAAAATGTTCAGGTTAAATTCTCTATGGATTTACACTACATATAATCTAAGGCCTTTTATAGAAATTCACTCCACAGATCCATGACTGTGCCAGAGCCATGACGTGGAATCATAAGGAATAATTCTAGCACATTAAGGGAAAAAATGAGAAGCGGAATTTCACTCCTAGCACTACTTCCCATGCTAGCTACTATCATTGTGTACCGTTAAGTGCCACAAACACTTACACAGTAGACAAACTAGCAGTGAGCAGATCTCACTATCCCACTGAACAGACAGGCTATTAACTATCCATTTATATTGTATTTTTAACTTTTTCAGCATATGTGGTTCAATTATTTAAGTAAAATTTGAAATTATAGCACCTGCCATCTTCCAAGCAATTAAACAAGCTAAGTAACCATTTATTGGCTAAGGGAAGCCAAGAAATAAGTCTGTGGTTTGACTGTCCACTAAGTGCCTTATGTCATGCATCTCGTCCTCTTTCTTTAAAGCTGAGTCCACTAAATGGTGAACTGAATGAAGTCCACATGACGCCATAAGCAGCCTTCAGATACCTTCCAAATCAGACACTTTGTTAGCCTATTTAGCAACAAGATCTGTAGGAAGTAGCACACAAAGGAAAAGAAAGAGTCAAGTTTACGGGTTTGACCTCGTACTTAACAGTTTTGAAAAAAAAACAAGTGATACTCATTTAACTGAACAATTTTAACAGAAGCAACTGGAGTTACATGAGCATGCCTGACCTTGGATGACAGTACAACAAAGGAGGCTTCTTTCTGCCAAAAGCAGCCTGTCATATCTTTTGTATGTCTGTCTCTGCAGATTATTTCAAGGTCTGCTAGCATGCCAGCTTCAAGAAAAGACAATGCTAGTGGGAAAGTTTCATCCTGCATTAAGACAGAGGAAAAACATGCTCCTCTGAGAAGTGAATTGTGAGTAGAGCAGTGGAGGAATACTACTCATGAAAATACTTATCTGAATCTAAAGGCGTATTGTCAGGGTTCAATACAATAATGTGAGCCTCCAAAATAAGACAAGACACGCTAATTTACCTACAGCCATCTAATCCATTTCTCAACATTTAACACTGATCCTTTCCCTCCTTGTTCCCCTTCCCTGCTTTGCTGCTCCCACAGTGTCCAAAATACTTTTCAGCTTCGCTAGAGCCGGAATGTACTATTGCACCTCATGTTGCAAAGCAAGGTCAATCAACACCAGTGGCAGCAGAAGACCCCACAGTGCCTTCACTCTATCTGCTGCAGTGGTCCCTCTCTTTTGTGAGGTTAGCAATACACCCAGCACTGTATGCTGCTGCACAGTGTGGGAGCAGACGTGCTCACTAAATTATTTGCAAGCTTGATGGCAAGTCCTTCCACTGTTCAGAAAATACTGCAGCAAGTACAAAGAAGGGAGAAAGAGACTAGATGGAAGGAAGTTAATCTGTCACTGAGAGTAAAACTAAAAAGGGCAGGATTCCTCCCCTTTGATCACTTGAAAATATATATTTAAGTATTTTGATCTGTTCACTCAAAACAAAGAGCAGCTAGGGGACACATACAAGGATAGTGTGTGACAGCAATGCATTTTAAGTTACTGTACAGCATATAGTTTACCTTGATGAGCTGATTGTTCTTCACATAGTGCAAAGTGTTTGATCTATTGCCACCAGCAACAACAGGGGGGTAGGCCAACATGTCCGCACCACGAGCCCGGCACTCAAATTCAAACTGGAATACCAATTCAGAGAGAAGATCATTAGTGTCAATTCAGGTGGTTAACTGCCCTGGGGCTGTTAAAATTCATGTCCTACAACTGTTTTCTTAAGTTGCACAACACAAAGTAAAACTGGAAAGTGAGTTCTCTAAATGAAAGCAGCCTTGAAGTTTTTCCAGAGGAAAAAAATACAGAACTAACCACTTTTCAAGAGAGTGCTTTAAGACTGCATCTGGTCTCATGGAAGCTTCTTCTGGTGCAAGTTGTTCAATACTGTATCAAACATTCATTATGTTGTCATAAATCCAGGTGAGGATTTGTTCTAATATAAAGTAATGCCTTACAACTTCGTGAATTTTCAAAGATCTAAACGTCAGCATGACAACAGTTGTGTTTTGCTATTGTTTTTTAAAATTACGAAGTAGCATATTTACAGCAGTATCTATTTTCATGACTCTGTTGAACTAAGAAGGTTTGAAAGCATGTACTACCTTGATGTCTGAGAGGAAAACAAAAGAAAAAGCACTGTAAGCCTCAAGATCTTTACCTGTCTTCAGTGGTGAAGCTGATGAAAGCATGGAAATTAATAAACTTACATCTAAAAAGACCCTCTTATATCCTCAATATATTAACAACATTTCTTTTCTATAATTACCACATGGGACAGAACACTCCAAGATGCCTACATGTAGTAAAGTAGGTTTTATGATCCTGATCTGGAGGGAAAAACTGAACTGTAAAATACACTTTAATTATCATAGAATCATAGAATGGCTA